CTTTAGAACTAGTCATTCGGAGCACACGTAACACCATAGTTTACTCACGAAATTCTGTGGCAGTAAATGTCCTGAACTGCAGTCATCTGATACGTACATATTATCACGAATATTTCTCCAGATATCATCAGGAAAGTCTGGGTTGGAATACGTGTTTCGGGTGTATATAAGAATTTCGACCTGCCAACTTGGGGAATAGATCATTAATCACATGGCGTTCTTCACGTCAGAGGAAAACACCTTACGGGTCCGCCCATGCGTCGACTTGTCATGTTTCACCTATCAAATAGGCACCACGACAATGGATCATCGTTGGACAACACCTGAGACCTGAGTTTCCTGTTGCACAACAAGCTGGGATGAGATTAGTGAAACTGTGACCTGACATATTTCTTCTGGTAAGGCTACTTATTTTGTTCCGTTTCTTGAAACCTTTGCTGTAAGTAAGTAAATGTCCTTTGGTAGACTACAGAAATTATCAGACTGGTGTTATGTTTGCTACACTTATGTCTGGTCTGGCTTGTGATTTATTTTACTGTCGCTTAATATTTCTCTATTCCAACGAAGTGCTTGCTGTCTTTGTAGCTGGCTCTTCGTTTCTCTAAAAGACGGATTGTGGTAAGATTCAGTAACAGCAGTAGTAGTGCTTCTGGCGCGGAGTCTTTGATAAGCTACCAGCCGCTCATCTGGTCAAAAAACACGTCCGCCTCGATCAACGTGTTCAAACGTAGGCATTCTTGTCACTGGACCGTATTCCGAACTGGACAACTCTAGCCCACATCCCAACACCTCTTTCTTGACTGCTTAACATTCTACTTTGTAACTGTGAGGGATACTATTATCAACATGTAAACAAATCTACCTGTACATTAGGAATATCACAAAAAAATAAACATGTATAAGGCTACGCCTACAACAAAAAGACTTTCAAAGGCCCGAGTCACAATGCAGTGGCTCACCACCACGTCATCGCCCCCTCAACTCGTTATTTATACATAAATTTTCTATCTAAATAAGATCTCGGTTCTATGAAACGGCAATGTTATTCAACACGCGGCTCGCATACCGCCTTTTTCTGGGACGAGCTATTTAACATCTGTGTGTTCTCCGTGAACGACAAGAGATATCGATGTCAATAACAAAAAAGGGGAGTCACGTTCACACGTAGCGTACGTAAAATACAATGTAAAAGCTCAGCTAAACTTGTGGTTACTCTTAACTTTGACATAATTAATATCCATGCTTATGATAGTCTCAAAAACATGTCCCGGTGTAACTTTCATAGCACTCATAAATAAACTGTTACAAGCCCTTATTATTTGTTTTAGTTTTCATATTTTTATCGCTGTTAGAGAAGGCACATATTACGACATTGTTCTTCAGGGTTTTGGCGCCATGTAGGCTGGTCAGCAGATGTCAGCGTTTCGGAGAAACATATTGTTGCCATCTTCAATGCTGGAGTATGTTTCTACGAAATTCTGGCATCCACCGACCACCCTACCATCATCATCCCCACCGCCGTAAGGACCTCAAGTCTAACACAAGGCACATATGAGTTTAGACAGACGCACGAACGCATAAACCTATCGATGAAACTCAAATCATTGACATTTATGTCGTTGGAAGAAATCTGTCTCTTATATGTGCGGGAAAAAAGAGATTTTCTACGAAACTTCGAGTCGGTCAAGAAAGAAAACATTGTAATTTCTGGGAGGTAAAGACTAATGTAAAACTATAACGAACTAATAAGAATAATCAATACAGCTAGGCAAAAATAACATTTCCCTATTTAGTTAAAAACGCTACAAAATTTCACAACGGGAATAAATGTTTAGCATGTTTAGATGTTGATGGGTTCTGCATTTTAAGTAATCAGCCTCTTACGACGAAACGTAAATGAGAAGTTGTTTGATTTACACTTCAAGTGAGGTAAAGTTAGCAGGGTTCTTACTGAATTGATAAGTTCCAAAATAAAATTAGCCCAGATTTGACTGTATACCGCTGATATAAAATTTGTCGAAATAAGATGAGTAATTTTGGAAACAAAACATGTAGACTAGTAAAATCTGCTCATAATGAGTTAAATTTATAAACTTGGACAAATAACAGGCTGTGGTTTATTTTTCGGCATTGCCAGTCGTTCAGATGATTGGTTGAGTAATGTAAGAAAACAGTTGTGGCCTAATTTAAGGTTCAATATATACCTAGAAATACTGTGGAAACCACAAAAAATACCTGTCAGGACCTGTGACCTGTTGGTTTTATGCAGTTTCTAAATCGCCTAGTTTCTTAGATAAAGGCCTACTTTTGCAGCTAGCTGTATTTATCTGCTGTCGAATATATAAATTATGCCTGAGATGAAAGTTGTGCACGATTCTCTGTTCTGTTGTAAGAATATATCAGATGTTATTTTACATTTTATTTTAAATTGTTCAGATTAAAACTATAGGCAAATAAGAAACAACTTTCATTCCACTTCTGTTTGAAGAGGTTATTTTATGTACGTCAAAAATCAGTTCTTAACTAGCAAAGAGGATGGTAACAGTGGGACTCCTAGCAACAAAATTGACAAGTAGCCTACATGACGAGCATTCGTAATTTCACAGCAGAACGTGGTATAGCCGCGAGATAACTGTAGCGCCATCAGACGCCCACTAAACATCAAGACAAGTGATGTTGGCATGACTTTAGTTGACAGCAGTGTTTTACAGGAATAGCTGCTCTATACGAAAAGAATCTGCAATTAATGGAGTAGATGTTAAGGCGGTTCCCAACCATGTAAACCACAAGGAAGGCATCTCATCATTTCCATTTATGTGACTAACAGCAAACAAACGCATTACACATAAGTGGAAATAAATGTTTCTATGTTAAGAATTAAATGTTACATCGGTGTACAAAAATGTAAAAGTGACGTAGTTCTATTACATTCCTACCGATGACACGATAAAGCCTGATGCTAAGCTTATACAGTTCTTTCATCCCTATTGTATTTATAGATAAATGAAGGTTATTCTGAAAAAATGTCTTCAACCTGCGCTGAATGTACAGGTATGTGTTACTCCATATGCATTTTGCACAATATAACACCAAAATTCTTCCACATATTTATGCGCGGATTCAGTGTTAGAACGTTTAAGAAAAGTTAAGTGCGACCTTGAATTGACCTGTGCGTTGTATATTCATCTGCCTATTTAGATAACATGCATTCTTGTGCCTGTCATACTAGTATCATGACAGAATTCAACAAATGTCATTAGCTGGATCGACTTTTTAATTACATCACCCCCGAAAACTAATAAACTGCATGCTGGGAAAGTTTTACTGGTCAGGGTTTACGCAAAAACATTTAATTATAAAAGAAACATTGAACACAAATCTCCACAACTTCCGCTTTAACAAATTTCGGTTCAGTGAATATCCAAAGTGTACTGAAACTAAATTTATTAAATTCAATGTTGTTAGTGACGCGAGTATTAAATTCAATGAAAATCGATCTGACCCTTTGAAGCATGATGTTAACTAAATAATGTTTAATAATTCACTTCCTATCACAAATAAAATACAATGCTGTCTCCATTGCAAATATCAGTTGTTTGAGGGAAATAATTGCCATTTATTCTGATAATAATACGAAACCCATAAATACCTCCTGTACTCAAAATGCAGAATACTGAATGTTGAATCAGGCGGAACAGATATAGTGACCTCTGTGCTTTAAATGTTTACGAAAGCAAACGGACACTGAAGTTAATCAAGGCTTTTCCCTGGCATTCTAGAAACACTGAATGTATGGAGCACCCTTAAGCAGGCAAGAGCGTACTCTTCAGTTCCGCGTTCCAACGCCAAACAAAGTGAGCGCGAATCCAGAGAATCGTGAAACTAAACAAGACGATGAATTTTTATATCCAAAGCCAGAAAAACAAAAGAAGCACGAACAAGAGAAAATAGTAGTTACAAGCAACTTACTAACTACCGCAAGACTTCCAACGTTATTAATAAATAAAATCAAACTTCGTTAAATGAACGGCCAAAGTAAAAGTCGGTACAACGTCTATTAATAAAGTTCCACTCGAATGAGCTGTCTGCTGTGTGCATGTTACTACCTAAATCCGTCCTGGAATGCGACCAGCGGCGGTTAGTTGAAATCGATCAGTCCATCAGTAACTATATTACAACAAACGTAGACTACTGAACAATCACATGGAAACTGCGATTCCGTTAAATTACTAGTATATTTACCCAACAGCTTTTTAACCACCAAGACCATTATAAATGCATTCCTCTACAGATCACGTTTCCTCACCAGCCTTACTGTCATACATTTAGACGATAAGCCCACACACTTACACAATACTACTTAATGACACTTTTTTTTAACATTTACAAATCCTAAAAACTACATTATTCTCAAAGATTACATTTAAAGAAAACATTATTCACTATAATGTCTTGAAAATGACCAATAAAACAATTTAAATGTCTTCATTAAATTTTGTTTTTTGTACTTTGGCAATAATTACACGAAAAATTAAAACCATAAAGTAACATTATACAAATTTATTCCGCAAGCCCCCCCCCCCCCACATAATAACAGTGTTCGTTGCCCATTATTTACTACAGAATTTTGCTGCTGAGTCACTATTAGGCCACCTAAATTAATTTTCTGTGTTTACAAAGCTCTCTTAATTTCCACCTGCTTTTACACACTGCTTGGTGTAGACCAGGGGTGTCAAACGCCAATTAAAAAAGGGGGCGACTGTTCCAGGCGCTATCACATGACTGAGGAAAATCATAACCGCCCAATTTTTTTCTAATTCCAGGCTTCAGCTTAAGATACATGTTTCCTTCCTATATTTTCCAGATGCACACACAAATTCTTACTGAACTACTAAATAAACTGGTACTGTAGCAAAGAATGTGTGCAACTCTCCTCGTCGTTTCATAGTAAAGATTCAAGAGAAAAGTTAACGAGCCGCTACTGAAATAGGAGAACTCACCGCTGTTGGAACTGTACTCTCCAATATATCGCTTGGTCAAGTACCGGACCGTCACGGCTGAAACAAGAACAATCAATTAATTGCTTTCCACCAACATTAATATCATTTTCCAGATGTCACACAGTATGTAGCAATTATCAGAAGATCTAGAAGTACATGCCTACTTCCCCGTCAGGAGAAAGCTAAGAGAGGATCAGTCAACCTCGATACCTTATTTCTCGGTCATTATCTTAATTATATTATGTCTACACAATTTTCAACGCATCCATGGCACAGCACATCGTCTGAAAAATGTGTGTGAGATTTCTATGACGGTCTCCTGAGCTGTCTCCATTTTCAGTCCTGGAGAAAATTATCGTTCTCTGAAACGTAGGTATCTACTTATATGTCCACGTGACGTTACAACCCAGACGACCAACATCGGCATATTCAACGTCGTGAGAACCTCAAATATCACCTATAACAATGTTAACCTTCCGGAATATACGTTCCTATTGCAGACTGGGGAATGTTAAATATGAAAATTACAGATCTTTACGAGGCATATTTTTAAAACGTGTAGAATGTGCAGTTTCTAATAAAGTTAATTTAACCAGTAAAGTTCCATTTGATATTCAAGTAATGTCAGTGTTCCAGTGGATCAGAAAGGATAACAAATTCGCTCGGCAAAATTTAGTACAGACATCGCACACCAAATTTCGTCTAAATCCGTAGTGATTTGGGATGTGAAGTATGCATACGGACGAATATAATCTTTCAATTGTGCGTTCCGTCTATGCACTAAAATGATATTCAGATCTGCTGTAAGCAATTTGAAAAATTCACAATGTGTTCAAGTAATTATAATTTGTAATTATTTAAAGGGTCCATAAGTAGCGCGATTTAGTTCGAAATATTTTTTTTTCGAATTCCCAGCATAAAATCTAATACAAATTTGACACTTACGAGGAGACTGATGAGAAAAAGTCAATTTTTTACTACGTTATGGGAAGCGCTTAACGTGATTTACACAAATGCCAAACCCAGACCAACAGATGCAGGTAGGAGTGGCTGCAACACAACGCAGCTGCCGCTACCGGGTATTCCACAAGACTCGTCACACCTTGCTACTGGCTCGAGACTTGTAATTGATTCGAACAATAAAAACAGACCCAAACAAACTTTAACAGATTTCCTGTTCTAGCGCTGTGAAAATACGAAATATAAGTACCACCAGTTTATTTCTACCTGCATCTGCTCACTTGATAAGGAAAACATAGACATCCTTAGAAAAGTGTCCTTGAAAATGGGACCTACCAGGTCAGATCAGAAGTTCGTGTGAACTAATCCAGCTAGTTCCTTGTGATTTACTTTTCTTCTTCTACTTCTCATTAGTTATGGACCAAGGACCAATTCTGGGGGTAAAATATCCGGTTCCTTCAAGTTTTCTGTTGGCGATCAAGGCCTCGTTATGGGACATTAAAATATATTGAGAGTTAAGAGGTTTTCAATCTGAATTCATAATTTTTCTTTCCTTTGGACTGATGTATCCGGTGGAGAATAGAGGGACAAGTTCGAAACTGAAGGTCGTGTCCAAACTTACAGCATTTTACCTATACTTAACTAAGCAGGATGGAAACATTATTTAACCCGAAGATGGCGGGACTTCTGACTGCCACCACCTACAGACCATCATCGCCGTGATGATGAAGGCAGCAAGGACCTCTGAAACGGTAAACTTCTACCAGACTACACAGCGCAACAACCCAGAAGACAGAAATCTTCAATGTATTTGTCATTTACAGGCATGGAGACAAATTCAAGGGGGAAAATATCTGAAGTAAGACCCGCCTCCCCTCTTGTTTATGCTCCACCGAACCGCATGGAGGTCATATGGAACACACTGTGGTAACCACACAATGAGACCGTCTCTTTTACTTCGTCAGCCCTCAGGGTCCAGCATTTGAAAACCAGGTGGAGGGAATTTAGGGGTGGAAATGGTTGGAGCTGAAAGGTGCAATTAATCGTAAATGGAGCGGCAAGGAAAGCATGAAAAGAAGAAAAATATCAGGATAATTTCCCAGTCGGAAATGGCAAGAAAACACCGATTTTGAGACAAATAAAATCCGTGTGTAGGTTACGGCGAAATTAAATCTGACACAACTGCCACTCGAATAGCTGAACACGAAAGGCGCAAGTGAATCTCGCCACTTCAGTGTTTTCAAACCCTGTCCACATTGTTTTGTGTCACACATTACACGCTCTGCACCGGAGGTTCTCAACCCGCAGCACGTCTATGTGTTTTGTCCGGCACACGTGCATATTTTATAAAATTGTATCATCCTGGTTCCAACATGACGTAAAATGGCGACGGCAGCAAAGCGCGTTCTCTGATAATGCTCATACTTGTCAACAAACACAAAACTGTTTCAGTCAAAATTCGGAGACACTTTCATAATCTGATCGGCAATCTAAGTTCATGTAACTACACAGTTACAGTGATTTCTCAGTCACCAAATCAAACATTTTTCAGTTAATACAACAAAAGATACATACAGTTAAGACCCTTCAAGCCGTGTTTTACAATGTTACATAAACCACCCACATAGCTTCCTACCAATGGCATCACGTTCCTACTAAGTTTCATTAAAATCACTTGTTTTCCTTTCGGATCTTACCCTCACCGGGACTCAAACCCGGACCTCATGCTCTGCGCTTCCACCAAACATGGTCACGTGGCGGCGCGTCAGACAGCACGCGGGACGGCTGACTGATCCGGCCACCGCCTCCTACAGGAAAATAATTCCGCCTACACACCCGTCTGTCTGCAGTGTACGAGAGCGCTCGTTAGGAAGACTTGATGCAAATAAATCCACTTCATAAGAACCACAGCCATGCGACCTACAATCTAGGTGTGTTAAGCGCATGGGGAGAGGCCGCCTTTACCATGCAAACAGCGTTGTTGAACCAGCCGGAAATTCTGAACACACTAAAGCAGGGGTCGGCAACCTCAATTTTAGCAACAAGGATGGTTCCAGAACTTAAAACAGGTTGGTGCATCCGGAACTGCCGAGTCTAGCGATACCTCACTTCACGCCACACATCAAGGAAAGTGTAGAAATTTTTACATGCCACTGAAATAACTTGTTTGGAGTGGCCAGGAAATTCTCCAGACATTACCCCATAGAATATCTTTGGGCAGTTGGCAGGGACAGGTTTAGAATACTGGATTATATAAAAACATAGGAAACTATTTGTGATCCAAAAATTAAAGAACCTTACACAATTTGTTCACATTAATTTGTACAAGATTGTGCCTTAGCCTACCTACATTCACAATCATAAACAAGTAAAACTAAATTTTCCTCAATATTAGATGGAGGTTAGTCGAGTTTGACGCTCCAGCTGTCTTTTGCTTATTAGGTGGTCCCAGACTCGTTATATCCATAAAACGATATTCTGTGTAATGTTGAGTGTGTGAACTCCTATAATGTCGTACCGTTTTAGCTACTGGGTACTAGGGACAGACACGTCACATTCAGAAATGCGTCAGTTGTGGCAGTAATTAAATTTGTATGAAACACTTTATAAATTTGTTTTTAACGTACTCGTTTAAACTTTCTACAGACTCCGAGGACTTGCCATTAAGGCCGTGTAAAAGTTTTGCGATCTGGGGACAATCTGCAGAAGGCATGTAGCAGTGAAGCAGGAAACCACATGTTACGACCCTGAGATAAATCGGACGGTTCCTAACAGCACAGACTCTAAAGTTGGGGGGGGGCGTGTGTACCGTTAACCTCGCGTGACTTTATTCTGCACTTTTATGCGTGTTACGTCACCACAGTGCTGTTTGCAACTTTCATGAGACACGATCAGAATTTGTTAAAATATTCGATAGGAATCGATCTTTTAGCAATAACATCCACTGAACTGTCCGGCATAAACGTGGAAGATTTGAGGTTTTCACAGCGGTGAGTATGAAGATTTCCGTCTTCTGGGTTGTTGCGCTGTGTACTCTGGTATAAGTTTCCCCGCGGTTCAGAAGTCCTTGCTGCCTCCATCATCAGGGAACGGAAAAATGATGGTAGAGAAAAGTCACATGCACACAGAGAATACTATCCTTCTCCAAGCACTTCTCGATGACCTGTTATGACCTGGCATTAGCAAATAGTGTGTTTGTTGTTCCGAGAGCCGATTCTTCCATTAGCCATTACTGCTATTGTCCCAGTTATTTCATGAGGCATTACAAAACAACGAACAGGAGTCCCACTTGATCAGAGTTCCATTATCGTCTAGGTTTTCGAGTGGGCGGACGTATTAACAGGATATCTTAAACGAAGAAAAAGCTTTTTTATACGAAACTTGATTTCCTGATTTCGACGCTGTATTAGGTGCACAGATTTAGTAGAACTTCGACTCTAGAGTGTGGATGAATGACGTCTTGCGCCATTCCCCACGGGATACTGAGGAAAACCATAATGAACTACAGTTTAGATAACCCGAGCGGAGTTTGAGCCACAACCTTTGAAAACACGAAGCAGCAACGCCAGTCTCTACTTTCACGACAGATCTACAAGTATATTCTAACACCTGTTGTTTAGATCAATGGTATTCAACCTGGGGTACGCCAAGACATCTTAGGGGGTACGTGAAATTTTAAAAAATATATTATTTTATGATAAACACCGAATAATCAGTAATGTAATTTATTTAATTTATTTTAGATGTAGATTATATACTATGTATAACTTGAATTATACACCAACAACTTTGGGGGTACAAAGTTGAAGAGAAATTATATCTGGGGGTACGCGAACGAAAAACGTCGAATACCACTGGTTTAGACCATCCTTCTGTAGGCATGGAACAAAAGCATCCTTACTCCACAGACCTTTGAACCCAGAACGTCAGAAACAGCAAGTTACCATAGAGGTCTACAGAGCACAGATCAGCTTATAAAATAAGTTGGTTCACAGGTTACTTAACTAAGCTCTATCAACTACAATCCTCATTTAGCATCATTTGAAACAATGGGATACATCGAATAGCTTTACTTGTATTCAATGGTGAATTGTGAA